GGCTTAATTGTTAATACTTAAATCCGCATTATCACTTACATCCATGATCCATTTGTTCCAGCCAACGGTTAAGATCGCTTTTTTAGTACTTCAGTAGTTGAGGTCAGTTCCAGTTACACCACACCTCGTCCATCTGCTTGTTAGACGCGAACTACGATAGATACTCTCTGAATCAGCTCAGCGCTTATTTATACTATCAACCATTGCTAGTCGTTACTGAGCGGCACCTGAGATAACCACTTACCTGACGTGTTTGTAAAAGTCTTAACAGTGTTAATAGTCATCCTAGCAGAAGGAATTATTTTTTCCATTTAAAAATACAGATATTACTTGGGCATACATGGCCTGTGTATAAGCATAGATATGTTAATTACAGACATTGTCTTATACAAAAGTTACATGAGATAGATATAATCATGACAGCTATGTGCACATTTAAACATTATCTGAATTCATATTTATAACACTTTTACTGAGGTAATCAAAGGAAACTTGTAATTCAGTTACACATTGACTGGATTTTTTGTGTTTATTATTTTTAACATGTACATGCTAAATGGATAGTAACAACCTTACATTATAGCAGTTTTTGCTTTTACAGTTCAGTTACTATTCTACGGGAAAAGCTATTTTTTCTTACGTTGATTTTCATTTGTAGTATTATCTGGCTTAAACTGGGTAGGGAGTTACGTGACTCAGTTTTTCTAATACCTTAGCTGATTTGCTTGGAAAAGTTGGAACTGCTATTATAGTTGTAGCACCTATCAAGGCAGTAACTTTGGTTACTGTTCAATTACTTCGATATTGCTGCAAAAGACAACTACATTAATCTGCTGCTCTGTTATCTGAGAGTTGTCAATTCCATGTACTTAGTTTTTGTAAGGCCTCTCCGCATCACTTTGATTTGATACTGAAATTATGCTGCGAAGATCCAATTCTGAAGGAGGGAATTTCTTAATACCTTGCTGAGAATAGCCTGATCACCGCCTCTGTCTCAGTTTTCGCCTGCTTGTTGCCGAAGCCGCCAGTATTTCCCACTTGGTATTTTTGAATGCAATTTATCGGTGTGTGGAGAGTTGAAGAGGTAGTGGTCTGTATCACCTACAGCACCACATTCACATAGTTCTGAGTCTCGTTTGCCGAATGTCTTAAGATAATGTGGGAAGGGAACATGGCCACTGTAGGAATGAGTTTTGCATTCGCTGTATATTTTAACTGAGCATGAAACGCTCGGAAAAAACTTGTAGATTCTCCTCCCTGTGCTTTCCTTTTCCCATCTTTTTTGCCATTCTTGTGCAAGGCTATTGAGCGTACTTTTTTTTTTTTTTTTTTTTTTTTTTTTTTTTTGTGAAATAAGACTGCGGCAAACTTACTGGGTTTTCCTCAGTCTACTGGAATCATTGGCTGTAGAATTAGCAAGCAAGACCGCTGCTTCGTGACTGAACCTTTTTTTTTCGCCACTGTATACAATCTTACATAATGTTATCGTATTTCAACATTGCTTATCGTCATTATTTCCTCATCAAAATGCTGCGATTAAAAGAAATTTCTATTGAACTATCTTTCACGCTACCAATTGTTCGAAAATCTTCCTGATGTTAATCTGAGTTAGGGCCTAGGCCAGGCACCCTCAACTGAACAATGGTTCAATGGACAGTTAAAATGAAATACTAGAAATATTTTTGAAAATTAATTTTATTTCAACATACGGTGGGTACCATTTATATGATCACGTACGTTTCCACCTTATAAAGTGGTTGAATTTTATATGCGGTGCTGGGACGCAACGCAGCATTTCGTTTATTTCCGAGGGGATATAAAAAAATTAAGTAGACTTATTTTATGTAAGATTTCAATAAATTACGAATGAAATGTGTACATACCTGAAACTCTCTCTCCTTGCTTACAGCCCTGCTGTTGAGATTAATCCTATTTTTCGATATGATGTTTAATATTTAAGTTACATACACTTTTAGTTTATAAAACTTTAATTACATTTTCCCGTAGGTGGCCAAAGCCATCTTAATTCAGAAAAATTGAAAATATTTCAGTATGATACTTAGATTAATACAATATGTACGCATAACAAACATTATTTAAAAACTTATTTATTCTAGCTTGTTGCATATTTCTTGTTAGTAGCTTTTAAATGGTGGTGTCCAAGATACGACATTGCTTGTAACGCTTTGTATCTCCACTATTAAGTTCGAGACGTTCTTCTCAAAATTTTTAATGCTTATCGAGATTCTGCTGTTGCTGGTTCAGCATCGGGATTTTCATCTTCGGACTCCCTTTCCTTTTCACTAATTCTTTTGTTTTCTCTGATAACTTCGATCCTTACATTAATCTTTTCGTAGCAAGGTTGAATATTTTCATCGATTCCCAAATATCGAGGAAGGTCTCATCATTGCATTTCTTCATCGTCAGCCTTATCTTTTGGCACATCTTAAGAGTTTCCAGAAATTCATCTTAAGAGTTTCCAGCCTTGGATGAAAGCTGGTTTTTAAAGCAATTTGAATTAGTTTGCGAATTTCTTCATCTTATGCATTTAAAATAACATGCATGGCATCTCAGAGAGAAATCGATTTAACAATTTCTTTAAAAGAACAGACTGCTTTAGTTATATCAATTTCAATTGAATTACTTTCTTCTTATAATGACTCTTGAATGTTTTTATAACAGCCTGATCTAATGGCTGAAGAATGGAAGTTGTATTAGAAGGAAGGAAAACTAATTTTATGTTCAACGAGTGATCAGTTGGATGGGCAAAGTTTGTCATCTTAGCACTTTTATTACCGTAACAAATCACAGGTAAATGCTTGACGTCCTTCAGGCAACGAGGGTTTTTGCTTATAGGGATGACTAATGGAGTCTTCTCAACACTTCTTCCTGTATTATATGCATTTATTTACAGACAGCTGAAGACTCACTTTTAAACATAAAGTGCATTAAGCCTCGATAATAAAGACCAGTCTCATGAATGTGAAAAATTGCGAAATCCGGCTAACTTCCTTTCTATCCAATCACCGGCTTCAGAGTCTGAATCTTGCTTCTCTCCATGTAATTTTTCAAAACGATATTGTTTGTTTCTTTCCTTTTGTGAACCATCCAACGGTAGGGACAAACTCCTCTCCCAGCATTTTGGCGAGTTCTGTTGCCTGTTGATACAGGATTTCTCGCGACATCCTGGCGTTGTTGTTCCGGGAATTTCGAAATCACTCCAAGAGGGCAGGTTCTACATCGGTGGACTTTCCCCTTCGCTTCCGATTACGTGAACTAAATACGCATATCATTATTTCATCCGAACTTAACCTTCCTTTTTTTCAACAACGTACATAACGTAGATTGTGATATTCTGAGTTGTACAGAAGCTTCACGTTGGCTGCATTTTGGTAAAGCATCATATTCTATCAGCAATTCTTTATATTTTAAGCTTAAGTCCTTGCGTTTGAACATTTTGAATCACGATCAAACAACAAAAGCACGGTGCGGATGGGCGAACTGAACGAAATGTGTGAGTAAAAAAAATACAACATTTTATATAAATTCTTCCTCACGTCTTTTTTTTTTTTTTTATGTTCCTCCTTTTCTCCAACTGGTCTGAGCTAGTTCTTACAAACCTCTTATAGCCCACCCTCAGGAAATTCTAGCATTTTCAGCTTCATTTGTCGAAGTGAATTGACCTTGAATGAAATTATTGACCTTGAAACACAAACTTATGGTTTTGACAATTCCATATATGAAAACTCCATGTGAGAAAGTGAATCGAATTTGAAGAAAATCACTAAGCTTGAAACACAAACTTGGGGTTTTTGACTTTATAATTTGAAAAAAGATTTGATTTTTATAAGCAGTAGCGTTGATTTTATTAAGCGGTGCACCCACTGTAATTTCATAATTTTTTGAAGACCAGGCAAATTAATCGTTAATCCAGTATAAGTCTTAAGAACTGGCTTGTTCGGGTGTGAAATCGGCCTAATGTCCAAAAATGGTCAGCGCGCAAGGATACTCTCTATGAAAATTACGTGAGCGAAAACATGAGAGGTCAGGGAAGAAGACAGAATTTTCTGCTGGTCAAATTAAACGTTTGCTGTGACGTGATATCCACGCGACATTCCCATTCGCATCACAGTGTGACATCCCTGTTATCTTATTACTCACCAATTAAATGCGAAGAAAATGTAACACTGCTACGTCACTGTAACGTCGCAGCAAATTTTTGTTCTGTATGACTATTTCGCTGGATCGTCTGAGCACGAGATTTGCAGCAAATATTTCCTTCAAATAATAATACCGTTTTATTTTGCCAAAGCCGAGAAACCCATGGACTGAAAAAAAAAACTTATTTTTGAGATGTTTAATAAGCATGAAATAAAAGACAGGAAAAAGAAATATATAAACCAACGTATGAAAGAACCATATACCAGTATAAATACAGAATTAGGCTAAAATAATTTCTTAAATTGGAAGAGATTTCTTATAAAATCTATGCCAAAATAAAGCTCTTCTATTTGCCTGAATTTATAAGCATAAATCAGTAATTGTGAAGTCACCAGTATTCGCCTTATAGCAAATATTTATGAAATTGAAAAGTTGTTTTTAACATCAAAACGTCAGTAAAACTCAAGAAAACAAAGATAAAAGAGATAAGAAATTTTATGTTCAAAGTAATCATGTTGTTTATTGGGAAGGAATAGTATATTGGCGCATTTTTTAATGCCATATAACCAAAAACTCACAGTAGAAGTATTTGAAATCGATAATGAAATATTAAATTATGTTTTTGTGTTTAAGAAGTTAAAATGATTATCTATTATGCTTAATACATCATATTACAGACAAAATTTTATTATTTACACTAAAATTAAAGTAATTTTCTTTACCACATGCAATAGCAGTTACATCTTTAATTATTTAGTAACAAGCAACAAATCGGCTTGAAACAAAATTTTCAAGATTTTTATTGCAGTAGTAACTATCGAGAACCTTAGATTACTTACTTGATTGTATTACTTCTTGTATGAAAGCTAAGGAGAATTCGAAAATAGGTTCTGCAGCAGGAAGTAAATCTTTCAACTCTTCATTATATTCTTCGCCTTTAAAATTATTCTGGTATACTTCCTTAGTACTTTCTTTAACGTCAGCCATCTCTAGTTTTTAGTTTGAAAATACCGAAGAAACTGCTACGAGTATTCTTCCTTTGAAAAGACTCTGACTGCTAAATGAAAATTGCATAATCGTTAAATTTATTTCTTTAGGAGAAAATAAACTGGCTATCTTAAATTCTTGGACTTGGTCTTCAGAGACTTTGGAATTAAAATCTCCGATATTATCGTTTTAAGTAAAGCGGAACAGTTAAAAAAAAGAATCCAAAAAAATCGTTTATTTAAGTAAATACGCTGGTGTTTTGAAACGCAGCAGATAAGGAAAAAGCTACTTATCGGACCAATACAAGTATACAAAAACAAGTTTTTTTTTTTTTCTTCTTCAGTTTGATTCTTAACTGATTTATTCATTGATAGAATGTTGGATCTAATGCTGTTTAATTAATTTATTCAAAGAATAGAGTTTTTATTCATTTAAATTTTTATCATTCTTAGTCTGTGCATTGAAAATAAAGGATTATGTTAAGCGAATTTGAAAAGGAGATCTATTTTTAAATTTGCTTACTTTTATTTCTTTAGCCCGAAGAAGCTATTAGTCTCCAAACATAATTTTGCGCTGATTCACTTTAATGTGCTGTTTCCGCTTTCTTTCTGCTCTGTTGCCATTCAACAAAATATAAGATATATATCTTTCAGATTTAATCTATATGTTATTGATTAAAAAAACTAAGCTATTTAATAGCAATAAATGCAGTTCTCCAGGATATTATTATTACTATTTCTTTTTTAATTTGATTGATTTAAATAAAAATGCATTTAATTTATGATATATCGAATTAAAATATTAAATATTTTTATAGAATTAACGTTGCATGTCAATTTCACGTTTCAAACATGCAACCATTTCCATGTTAATCTTAGGTATATCCATCTAGTATCCTATGAAATGTTTCGTTGTTCGACCTCGACTATCACTATTGATATTCTGTACTGATAAACAATATTAAACTTTAAAAATATTCTTTTGGGAGACGGTTAAAATTTGAACCCTTCCAGATTTTATTTTAATTTGTTTAATTTTAATTTTTAATTAGAAAAGTAATTTCTGTGAAATCTCAGGAACATTCAAATAGTATTTAAGCTGACCTTGAATTTTGATTATTTCGAGCATGCCTGGAATCTGACAAGGATTTTAATTATAATTTTCTCAGTAAAAAGTTTTAAAGTGAACTTTCAGCAATTTCAAACTCAAATATGGCTTTGCAAAATGAATTATGTTAATACTTTAGTATGTAATCATTAGAATTTTTTTGATGAGGAAAAAGTGAAAAATGAGCAATGCCCTCACTTGGACTCGAACTTGGACCTCTCGAACGCGTGCCAAGCGTGCTAGCGTTACACCACGAAGGCATATTGGAAGGAGAAAGTACCTTATAAGCAAACCGGAACGTAATAAGAGGAAAATGACTGAAACATATGATTTGACTTTCCGTTACAGACATAAACAGAGATTTCTAGAAAAATAAAGCTTAGGGTAAGATAGGTTAAGTTATTTTCAATATGGCAAAGTACATAAGGACAATCTGCCTAAGGTAGCGATGGCCAACCCGCAGCGTACGTATTGAAAAATAGAAAGATTTGAAAAACTAATAATATTTTGTGCATTAACTCCATCAATAGATGCACATATAAACGTTGTTACCAGTATTTCTGCTGTGCTGGGTGATCAAGAATATGGATTGGTGTCTATTTATTTTTCTCCAGCTGAAGATATTTCTATTAATTTGTATAAATTGGAAAATGTTTTAGATACTTATGATAAATTTTTAGTTTTTGGTGATTTTAATTGTAAGCATTTTAGTTAGGGGGGCTGGTTATACAGATGCACGTGGGATTTTATTATTTGATTTTATTACATCTAAGAATTTAGGTGCTTTTTAATATTCAAGGTCTTTACGCCCAACTTTTTCATCTTCAGTTGGACAGGGTTGGACCGACCTTGTGTTAGGTTTCAGGATCATTGGACATTAATGATTATAAGTATGAGGTTACTCAAGAAAATCTCTCAGCAGCCACCACAGATATATTCTCTTTGACATGGAAGGTGTTTGTCTACAAGCATGGAAGTGGAAACTTTATAAGTAGAAGTGTTCCGAGAGTTTACAAATTGTGTAAAAAGGTAAATGTTGTCATTGAGAGTTTTATCGAAAGAATAAGAAATGCTGGTTATATTGAAGAGATTGATTGTATAGCCTCTGAAATTGAAACTTATTTGGTTAAAAGGATTGTTTCTAAATTAAGAGTTCGAAGAAAGGCTGATAAGAAAATCATTTCGTGGAACGTTGGTCTTGAAAGACAAAAGAGAAGAGTACGGGCCTTTTAGGAAGAAGTTTTCAGGTAAAGAATATTGATGATGTTACTAGATTAAGAAGGAAAATTAGATATAAGAAAGAACTAGCTATTTTATAACGTTCTATTAGAGAAGCAAGAAAGAATAGTAAGATTAAGTATTTTCTGGATTGTGTGAATCATTTTGATGGTTTCTATAAGACTGCAGCTGCTGGAAAGAGTAGACACAATAAAGTTATTGTCAAGGAGACCGGAGGACGTTGCTGGAAATTTTGAAGAAGTGAATAAAGCTCATGCTTAAAAGTTTATATTGATTTAGATTATGATTTTTTGTTTGATATTTCGAATATTGATGATTCGAAGTTAAAAGATGATGATTTTTGATTTACTCGTGATGAAATTGCTGGAGTGATTCGACGTCTTAGAGACAAAGCTGCACCTGGAATTGACGGCATTTATTCTGTGATTGTTAAGACTTATCCTGTTATCCTGATTTTTTTTAATACTTTGTATAATGCATGTTTAAAATATGCCATATTTCCAGGCACATGGAAGATAAGTAAAATCATATTGATTCCTAGGACCGAAGGAAAATCAAGGCCAATTGCTTTATTAAAGATATTTGTAAAGGTTCTTGATAAATTGATAACTAATAGGATGATGCATTATATTTTTAAATATAATCCTTTCCATGATAGTCAACATGGTTTTGTTCCAGGTCAAAGTACCGATGATGCTCTTTCTCGAGTTATCTCATATATTAGAGAACATAGGGTTAACCAGCACGTTCTTCTTGTCTCTTTTGACATCGCTTCTGCAATTGATAACGTGGATTGGGTCTCTTTATTGGGGACTCTTCAAGATTTGTATATACCCAGAAATATTTTTTATTTGATTTTGGATTATTTTAAGAGTAGAAGAGTGTATTTTAATTGCTTTTCGGAAAGTAAATATAGGTCTACTTTTAAAATTGCTTTTTTAAAATTTAAAATTTGCCCGCAGGGTTCCTGCAGCGCTCCTCTGTTCTCGAACGTGATTATGAATACATTGCTTCAATGTGAATGTCTGGCAATGTGGAACTTGTTGTTTATGCTGACGACGTCGTTGCATTGTTTAGGGGGGATTCACTTGAAAAACTGGTAAAGTTGTTCGATGAGACCTGTGCAATTTTTGATAATTGGAGTAATGGTGAAAAATTGAATTTTAATATGGATAAGACACAGGCTATGTTTTTCCCGAGGGAAGGACGTGTGGTGAGACCTCCTCGAATTCTGTATCATAATAGGAGAATTAAATTTACAGAAAATATGAAATATTTAGGTGTTGTGTTGGACTGTAAGCTCACTTTTGTTGAACGCTTTAGCGAAGAACAGATCAGCTTTTACTTGCTTACAGAAGGAACTTTGCGGGCAATATTTTTGCTAAGAGATCTGGTATACTATTGGTTCTATATAAAGCCGTTGTATTACCTATTGTGATGTATGGAATTGGCGCCTGGGGTTCCAGAGCGGAGTTCTTTGCTTCAGTCGCTCTCTTGCCCCGATAATGTTAACTGTGTTATTATGGATATTAAATTTCTGTTGCAATCTATCAGTTCTACGATCTCTTTTCATTGGATTAAAGCCCATGTGGGTTTTTTTTTTTTGGTAATGAGAGTGCTGACAGTCTGGCCAAGGAGGTATGTATTTCAACTAATGCACCCATTGTGGAAATTTCTGGTTCTAGACAAATTGCCATTATGAGTATGAAGAAATATTATATAAATATAAGGAAAGATGTGTGGAAAAGTTCAACAAAGAAAAATAATTTGTTGATTAATATTGAAATTACAGATAAAGTTTTAATCTATGATGACATTGATATGAATCAGATTATCACCAGGCATGGTAGGTTTCCTCATTATTTAAAGAGATTTTATGTACAAGATAATGATCTATGTCCAAATTGTAATGTTTTGGGTGATGCCAAACACTTCGTGGTGGATTGCCAATTGACTGATTTTATTAGACGAAGTTTTAGTGATATACATTTTGATTTATTGAATTTTGATTTTAAACATTTGAAATTATATGCAAGAACATTGATGGCCTTTATTAATGGCAATAGACATGCGATTGGGGTTTTTAACTAAGTTCATTTTATTTTCAATGTGTTTATTTTAAGATGTCTTTTTCGTCGTGTTTTGATGATATGTGTGACTGTATGTCATATTTTCGTTGTGTGTTTTATGTGTGTTTTCATTCCTTATTTTATGTTATCATTTTTACTAATACAGTTTTCTTGATTTAGTTATTTTTGGTTTTCTTCTTTCCTGTCGTGTCGTTAATCCAACCATTAAAAAAAATAAAATTATATAGTTGTATGGCAACCTTGCTGGATGTATAATTATTATTTTCTTTAGTTGATTATACTAAAATTTTTAGTTACTCGGAATACCGGGCTTGGTTTCTTGGAGCTTTGAATTTTAAGTTAAATGCTTCGTTGTAATATCTTGCTTCGTGTTGTAATAAGTTGCTTCGTGTGTAATATCTTGGATTAGTTGTTCTTTTTTGTTAATCTGGCGTTTTAACTTTTGTTGGGGGACTCTCCGGGTCGCTGGCTGCCTTCGCTTGTCATGTGAATGGGACGCCCCTTTTTGGAGCATAAGATCACTTTGTGATCAGGCGGGTTGGGGCGTTCTAGCAAAAACAAAACAAAAATACACATAAACACATTAGAATAAATATAATTTAAGTCTTTGAATTTTAGTTTAGGTTTATTTCACTATAGCGACACTCCAGTGCGC